TTTTTCCCCAGCATGAACAACTTCTTCATCATATTAGTGACTGCTGCTGCTGCTAGGTCAGAGACTGTATACACAGCGAAGTGTCACATACCAGATGCAGTAGGAATTAGCTTGATCTTCATGTGAATTACGTGGCACTCTTCATCAGTGTTTTTGTTTTACTCTCTTGTCATCCAATGCTGCTCTTGCTTCTTCTCCTTTTACAATGGGTCTACATCTTTAGACCATTTGTACTCCCCCAGTAATCCAGGCATGGCTTCCATGCTCATACCCGATGCTTGTTTGTAATCATCTTTCCTGATTTTCCTATCCTTTTCCCAAGAGGCTTTTTTTTTCTCTGTTGTTTTTAATTAGCTATAATATTCATCTTCCTCCTACTTATTCAAAACTCACCAATATGCTACAGAGGTGCAATATGCGACTGCTGTGGCAACAGCAACAATCCCTGAGCTGCTGTGGAATCACAAGTATTGCTGAAAGAGGTCACTGGGCAACTCCTGGCTCCTCACCTGCAGCCTGGGGCACACCACCTGAACCTGCTGTCGTGGTGCTGTTTCCTACTCATCTAAGGCAGAAGACAGACTGCAATCCTATAGACTTCAGTACAGAGAACCCTGACACAACTATTTTCTTAAATATGCTTATTCCTTCTAGACCACGCTTCCAAATGTTTTTTTAAAACAGTTAGGAATTAAGAACTCAGTGATAAGTTATTCAAATGGATGAAGATCCTCACCACTGTAATGCCGCAACTTCTTTCTCACCTGTATTCACTGAGCTTCAGCTTTAAACTACCACATATAACACATCTATTTTGTTCTGGTTGGACCATTTCATTATAAAAGCTGCACTCTCTAAATAAACATCAAAAGGTTACAGTAAGATTTGCCTTCTTTTCAGTAAATTGAACATACGGATGCTAAGATTGAGTTGGGCTTACCAAGTGCAGAATTCTCTGGCTCAAAACACAACATACAGACCAAGGGACAACAGGCATTGATACAACTTTGCATCAATAAAAACATGGGAATTATTTCTACCAGGCAATAGTGAGAGAATGGCCAGGTTATGAAGCAGTAAGGAGACAGTCTCAAACCCCAAATTTCTGAAAAGATGGAAACAATCCTTATAATCCTCAGACCAGTCTTGAAGCTTTCTAGTAAAGAAGCACAAAACTTTGTCCTGTTGCCACATGAAAATTTTTGGTGACTAAGTATGCCTGAATATCTTGTTAACAAGCTCTACAATCTTGAAAGTTGACCCTTTGCAATAAGAAGTGTGACACAGAAACAAACTCTTCAAGGAAAAAAAAGCTGCATGCCGCAAGCATTGTAACCCGAATAAAGGTGCTTTCTAAAGGGACAAAGCTGCTTGTACACAGGTGCCTGCTACAATTGCTGCTCCTTTCGTCAGTGCATAAAGTGCAAGACAGAAACACTGCTGGGAGCTGGGCAGCAATGGAGGTGGAAGTGGAAGGCTGGTCCACTCAGCCTCTCTATTTCACAACAGTTCCTGAAAATTTCTGAGTTCCAGGAGAGCTGCCCAGCTTCCTCTGAGCCACTGCCTTTGAGCTGCATTTGCAACACTGGCGGCCTGTGTATTTCAGGAATGCGAAAAACTGGCACAGTGAGGTTTATGATTCAGCCAAGATGATGTGTTGGGACATGACTGAAGTTAATTAAAAGGAGCTTAAGACAGACAGACAAAAAAAAAAGTTTGCAAGACTCCTTAAAGAGCCAATTAATTATTATTTGTGGCTGCACACGCCAGCTGGGCCACAACATGGAATCTCCCCAGCCTCACCTCAGAGCCTTTATGGAAAGCCAAAAAAAAAAGCCCCACCCATGCAGGTCAGCTTTCAGGAGCTTTGGGCCAGTATCTTTGCACTGTAGCTGGGTAAAACTTTACTAAAATCAGCAGAGTGGCATTGTTTACATCCACAGATTTAGGCTAGGTCTTAATGGTGAACACAAAGCAAGAAATAAGCAATACGTCCAGCAACAAGTCAAAACGCATGGGCTACTCCAGAGCTGGATCACCTGGTGACATTCACTGTCTGCATGCGTGGCCTGGAAAAGGAAGGACTGCCTGGAGTCAGTGTGGGAGGAGAGAAAGATGGGAATAATTTAAGCCTCTCTCTAATGCACGATAGTGATCATTTTCAGAGCTGCATGAGGCACCCACATGAAGTGAAGCAGTTTCACACACTTCCAGCCTAGTTTCCTGTAAGGAATTCAGTAAGAATTCCTTTGAATTCACAAAGATTCTAAATCAGTACATTTAAATTCTGAGTCCCGGCTCTGCAGCCGCAAATCTCCCCACCATGGGAGAGCAATGGTGCCCTCAGCGAGCAGCGCCCCAGCCTGTCCCAGGAGCAATTCACCCAGCACGGGCAGGAGCCAGCCTGGCCGCAGCCCCGCCTGGCTGGAGCACGCAGCCCTGTGCTCTGTGCAAAGGCAGCAGGCAGAGCCAGATGGCCCGAGCAAGCTGCCTGACCAAGACTTAGCAAAATTTGCAGTTTTCCTCCTCAGGAGGAACAGACCCTACTGCACCCTGACAGTAACTGACAAGTATGTTCAACAAGAGGCTGAGCTGTTAGCAGTGTGGACTTTTTACTTCTACTCACTGTCACCTCAGTGACTTATGGCGACTGCAGCCTACGTGTGACCAACACGGCTGCTCCCAGCCCAGCAAGGAGCCTCCTACCGCTGCAGGCCCTACACCTGCTCACACAGCCCTGCCTGCACGTAGACCTTGGCAGCCCCTATGGCATTTGCTGGGGTGGGGGTGGGAAGACCATGGTGTCATTTACACACAGGTTGAACAAACCAGGTGCAATCAGTTTGGGTTTGGCTGAAGAATCCTCCACCCTGTGCAAGCTATTTAACTCCTGCAGTGCCAAAGCTTTGTGCATGCCCGTGGCAATGAAAACCTTAGTTTGAAGGTTTCTCTGAAGAATTCTCTGTCATTGTTCCCCAAGGCACCACAGGAGAGGGTCAGGTCCTATTAAAGATCTTTTGCCTAAAGACAGATAGCTGCTTCTCCAGATACTATGCTCTGAAAATTAGTCTAATCTAAACTATGAAAACACATAGTAAATATAGCAAAGTCAACTGTTGCCCAGATTGCCCAGGGAAGTCCCACCCCTGGAGGTGCCTAAGGCTAGGATGGATGGGGCCCTGGGCAGCCTGATCTAGTGGTGGCAAGCCTGTCTGTTCTCCAGAGGCTGCAGCAGCGGTTCTGGTGCTGTCCTGGTGACAGAGTGAATGGCCAACAGAGAGCTGAGGAATGGCTTAAAGATCTAGTGCTTGGTTATGCTCCATACAGGCGAGGGCACTTCACTTGTAGCTAATGACTAACACCAAGGGGTGGTATGGGGACTGCTGGGAAAGCAGTAGGAGCAGTGCACCGGACTATCCCTGGACACTGGTGCATGTCTAGTCCATCTCCACCCCACTCTTAAGGCAAGACCACTGGGTCCCAGTTATCTTTGGGCTGCAAACTGCTTCCTGGAACATCCACCTTTTACCTTCCCACTCACCAAGCTGGCTGGCAGGATCTATACATCTTGTGGCTCTTAGGAAGGGAGATTTTGGGATGCAGTCTGTAGGGCTGGACAATGATCCACACCTGAGCTCAGTGTCCATGAAGTCCACTGAGGGCTGCTTATGTCCAGTCTGTTATGCTGCTTGAAATTAATACTATCATGACAAAACCTAATGATAGAAACCATATGGGAAACCACTAACTGCAGATCACTTGGGCTGTGAAGGACTTGTTTGCAGAAAGCCCCGGAACAGTGGATTTTATTTTGGTTTCTGTCTCCAGTTGTTCTTCTAACTCTTTCAAAAGGCTATATGAAGCTGGGGAGGGACCTGGGGGGAACTCCAGACTGAAAGTAGCTTAACACCTTGCTGGATCCTCGCCAAATACATTTTCACGTTAAGAACTCTGAACTAGCAGGAAAAATACTTCTCTCGACCCCTGGGGGGTCAGTGAGATACCCAAGCGCAGATGCAAGACAGGGCTAAGATCTGACATGAAAAGCCAGAGTTGCTCACCTCATTCAGGAGCTGAAGCCCAGAGAAAGGGGCACAGCTTCCAGGATAGGACAAAGCCCACAAACCCTGCAACAAAGGCTACTTTTCAGCAGCACATAAAGGAAGGAGGGCCCAGCTCTGCCCCTCCAGCCAGACTCCACCCCTCGCAGCGTGGAGGCCTTCGCAGAGCGCCAGCCACATCTAATCAGGTCTGACAGACAAGACAAGGCAGACGGCCACCCGCCATAGGCACCCCCGCCTCCACTCACCCTCAGGCTTTCCCCCAGCCCCAGGAGTGCTGCCTCAGTGGAACTGCTCACGCCAGCCCCATGGCACCACTGCTGCCCCCTGGCCCTCACCCATTCTGCTCAGCATGTACCCAGCCAAAGCCCCATGACCTGCACCTGGCACAGCCCAGTGCTGATTAAACAGGAACCGGGCAGATCCTCAACGATATGCGTTTTCCGTCAGACAGAAAAAAAATCCAAACTTTCAAAGAGTTCATTTAACCATCTCTGGGACAAACAAGCCAGTGTTGGAGACATAGAACAACTCAAAGGAGTCAGACCTGTCTCATAATAGCAGGGAAGACTGAATATTTCCTAAAATCGCCTCTCCTCCACTTCCTAGATCAGGGTTCAGTATGCTCCAGAGCGTGAGTATGCTCCAGGGTGAGAATCCAGCATGGAAAGTTGAATAAGCAATGCTTAAAAGGGAGGAGGCAGGAATTCACCAAAGCAAAGAGGAGGAGGAGAGAGAGAGTGAGCAGAGGCTCTTTTTAGAAGTGTGAGTACCACTTTAGTATGCAGTAGCCAGGAAAACTGGTTGGAAGCCCCATGACTCGAGCAAGATACTCAGCCCTGGGAGCCAGAAAAAGAAAGGATTTGGCAGAAATTCCTCTGCAAAGCAAGGAATCATTTCTGCAGCAGAATATTCAGCTTGGCCTTACTGCAAACCAACCTTGCCAGCTACTTGATCATGCCATCAGAATATTAGCACTCAACTCCTCTGCTCTAACGTAGCCATGAATCTCCTCTATCCACTTCTATCTTCCATTTGGCCTCTTTTATTCAGCTCCTCACAGTCCCAGTCTTCCTGCAGTGCCCTGCGGCCATCCCAGTGCTCAGGGAACTAATAGCAGCCTGCCTACCAGACACCTGGCTGCCAGCTGCAGTGTGGCACCTACATGTCACAATACAGTAGAACTGCAGCCATCTATACTGCAGGACTCTGCTTGCATCAAGGGCTAGTGGTGCCAGCATAAGCCATAAAGGCAGTCTGAGAGCCCGGACTTGAAGAAGAGAATACCACTTCAAATAAGAAGACAAGACACCTAAAAATTTCAGTGAAGAAATGACATCCACATCCTGATTTTCTAAACGTGTCCTTCCTGAAATAATAATAAAAAAATAAAGCAGGACACTTTTAGCTTTTAAGACATTTTCCAGGGCACAGCAACACACTAAATCATCTCTAGTCACCACATCTCAAGGAAACAAAAGTATCCCTTCTAGAAAGATTATAATCAATTGCTCAGGAGCATGTGTATACTTCTCCCAAAAAGGTACAGAAAAGATAAAGCTACACTAGAGCTGTAGTCCTGTTTCAACATGTCAACTAGTAAGACTGTTGATCCTAGTCTATCTGTGAATCTGGTGGTAGAGAAGCTGAAAATTTAGAGCTAAAACGTAACTACCTTGGAAACTTCTTGTTAATGAACAAATGATTGTGTAAAATGTTTACTAGCATTCACAACTGCATTTTAATTATCCCCTCTGCTGAAAAGAAACATAAACATACCCAAATCCACTTGGAAGAGAATTAGGGAATTCTAAAATATGAAACAGAAGAAAACAAAGTTCACTTTGGACCTGATGCTTTCCACACTGGGTTTGAAGTTTCAGAGAAACAGCCCTCCAGCAACAGTTCTGTTTCGAGGCCTTCTGTTCAATAACTCCTGCTGCACACCAGACCCTGCACTCTTCCCCCTTCAAAAGAAGCGCTTACACGAGGAAGGCTTTGTACCCACTACACAAGGTGAGTGACACCAGCAGCCATAGAAGGATGTACATAAAATGGTTTTGACTATGGCTAAAGAGAATGACTGAGACACAGAAAAATAATTTCAAATTGTGTTGTTGGCTACTCTGAATTCAAACAGGTCTGTGTTTTTGGGTCTATGGCTAATATTTGCAGTCTAGCTGGGTTCTCATCCTGTCCTATGTACTTGTTCTGGCCATGAGTATAAGGCTCCTGAAAAGCACCAGGTCTGCAGGGGTTGTTCGTTCACTTGAACTCCCCTAGCAAAAACAAGAATAATAAAAAGGGAAGAAAATTGGGTGACTCGTGATTTACTTTCCAGCAGGGTATGACTATGGCAGGAGGCAGCCTGGTGAATGCCATCAGAGAGACTTATGGGGAGAGACAAAAAGTATGGAGAAATTCAACAGAAAAAGAGCAAGAAGGAAAGTTTCTAGATAGTAATGGAGTGAAGAAAAACTTTGTGGACACATCCTGGAAGGGAAGAACCAGAAGTTTAATCCCTTGGCACAACACAATAAGGACCCAGAAGGCTGACAGCTGTAGTGATGAGTGAGGAAAGAGAGTGCAGGAGACAGAGAACCGGACTCACTTAGTGATGTTGTGCCGGAGCCTGTTGTGGTTAGTCTCTGCTGCATTACTGGGGACATCGCTCTATCCTTCTACAAGCTTACAATATCCGGGAATCTTCCCCAGTAGAATTCCTGTGACTGCACAGAAGAGCACTGTGATTAAGACGAGCCACAGAGCAGCTATTTGGAGGTAAAACAACCGAACAGGTGTGATGAATATAAGCATCAAAGGATTTCAAATAGATCCTGGGCTTTGGGACAGGGACAATCTGAGAAGGAAAGGGTTCTGTAGACAAAAGGAAGGCCCTGGAAAGAGAAAATAGAAGTTCTTTGATCTGAAATTCTGCTTTATTTTAAAACAGACATATTGCAACAGAGATGTGTGCGCACACACATACAAGTTAAGTATCCACATGTATACAATTGGTTCTGGATATTCCTTCTTCCTTTAATTGGTCCCAGGTGAAGCATCAACAATCACATCTGGAAATTTTTATACAAATGGCAAGAAAGCCAATGACTTGGGTCACAAATATTTCACGCTCTTTCTTTGCCAGAAACACAGGACAAATGTGGTTTACATCTGCCTCCCTATAAATACTCACACTTGCAAGATACTCTGCTGTGGCTAATACCTCTGTTTCCACAAGCAGAACTGGTCAGCATGCCACCCTTCTCACCTAGCCTGAGTTTGGTCAGACCTGCAAATCTGGATGCCGGGTGACACCTGCAGTCCAGGTCAACTTCTCATTAGGATACATATCAAGAGATGGCAGAGACATCCTAAGTGACTTGTAGATACAATGCACAGAATCAAATTACATGGATAAGCATTTTTAAAGGCTGCTGCAACCTCAGCCTTCCAGTCTCTCCATGAACCACAGGAGAGGCACACCCAGTTTCTGCCAAATGTGCAAACTCAGCTTAGCACGCAGCAGCTCACCTTCCAAAGGAAAAAACACCAGTACCCTTCAGTTCCCCACCCTTCCTGCCTCAGCTGCTAGCAGGCTTGCTGGAGAAAGGTGGTGCTGGCAGTAGCCATGATGTTTAGCTGCTCATATTCAAGAAGAGATTGTAATGACCCTTGTCCATGATATATCAAATCACCTAACTAGTTCTGCCTGGTCTGTACTGGCGCTGCAAAATGCTATACAAATTCAATACATCTCAGTAATAATGGCCTCGCTTTCAGGCATCAAAGACAGGACTCAGATAAGTCTTAACAGTAGTGCTGTTTCCTAGCAGTAATTGTACTCAGCTTCATTTTGGGAGGAAGACTCAGAGAAAGCACAATGTCCTCAATATTGTCATTATATGGGTGCTGCCCTGGCCAAAGACACAGCTTCATTACTGTCTGTGATATCTGCGTTCTGAGGAATGCAGAAATGCACTTTTTTCTTTAGTACTAGCTGGTTCCTAGAAAAAGCACAAGATCTTTTATTCTTTGCTCTTCTGAAATGTCCTGCTAGTGTAGATGCTAGTGTTAGATCACTGCAAGAAATGCTAATTTAGAAGAACTGGAAGGTCTGCTGGATGCAGTGGAGTGCACAAGGAAGGCCCAATTGGGCAGGAATAGCTTACATACTTCTAAGGAGCCAATTCTGATCCTACCTGTGGTAACTTTGTGTTGCTGAAGGGGTAAAGAGACTGCAGACACTACCTAACAAGATCCCCAGAGGAGTCTTCCAGAGCAATCCATCTGGCAGTTTTTCATTCCTTCAACCCCTGAAACAGTGGATGTGGCAGTAGCTATTTACAGAGCTCTGCCAACCTCTGGGTAGCAAGTGTTACTGCACTGCACTCCTACAGCAGCCTTGAGTCTGCAACTATAAAACCCAGGATGATCAAGCTGTTTAGCAGACTTGGAGCAAAAAATATTCTCTCATGGAAAAGATTGCCCACAGCTCAAGACACAGATTTACCTACCTCTGAAGGGCCAGTGTTATGCTTCAAGCAACCAGAATTTGTAATGGACAAAAGTGAAAACATCTACTTTTTTTGGTTTGTTTGTTTCATCTGTGGCATGCACCTGGGGTGACTGGTTATATTTTCTCTCCTTAGAGTTTTAAAGCAAACTGCTAAGTTCTACGTATGTTCAAGCAAGAGCAGGCCACTCAAATAGAAATGCTGACAAAGATGCACATTCACTTGAAAAAATTAACATTTTTTAAATGCAATGTTTAATTAACACATACAATTTACCACAAGTCTCACTGCTGCAAGAAAAAGCTGAATATCTAACTTTTTTTTTTTTTAAGGATTAAATAAGTTTGATTAAAGTTAGTATCTTCAGATAACTAATTCATTACTTTTTCAGAGCATTCCATTAGCCAGGCTAAAATACATGACGCCACTAGGACCTGTCCTAGTCACTCAAGTTAAGAACATCTACAGCCTTCACAAACTGCTACCTCATTAGCCTTATTTGTTCTGGAGTTTTCCTATGAAATCCCTACACAGTTGACTGCTGGGAAAAAATCACTGAGCTGATCATTGAATTGTTGAAACCATCATGAATTGTTCAGACCATACCATTCACTAGCCCTTCAGGAGCTTTCCTGAAGCCCAGGCCAAGCTGGCCAGCATTGCTACAGGACAGAGATAGCACAAAGGACTAAGAAACTGAATCAAGTGAGAGCACAAATGTTTGGAATCCTCATTCTGAGTACTGATGGACACTGCTGTGCTTTGATTTATTCTCTGTAACCTTTTTAAGGGCACACATTAAAATGACCTCTCCACGTGTCTCCACCAGTGCTCATCTGGTATGCAACAGGTGTGAGGCTGTTGCTGTTCTTAACATCTTTTAAATGTTCTACCAGATGAAGAAATGAATTCCCTTTGTTCCTCGGAGATGGAGTTTCTTTCATTTCCTGCATAAGGATGCAGTCCACACTTCCAGTAGAGGGAACAGATGATGTAGGCCTAGAGGCTAAGGGTGCATTTGCATGGCGTGGGTTATCAAGTGTTTCTGCATTATTAATCATTTATGCCCATTGGGCTGTATATGTCTGGTAACAGCAGTACATCTCTGGGGGTGTGCTCTGTTTTGCAAGAGCTCAAGAGACGAAAACCATGCTTTCAAATCCCTTTGCTCTCAAGCCCATGGACATAGTCTCCTTAAAATCAAAGCTGAATGAAAGGACCCTGATTTTGGCTTATTTGCATATGTGATTATGTAAATCATCCTACCATTTCTTATCCCATGGCAGCAGACTTGCCATGCTAGGCTGCAGAAGAGCCTCCAGGTCTGTGCCACAGTGGAGAAGATTGGATTATAGAAATGGACACATGCCTGAGAACAGGTCCTAGCTGCATATTCACAGCTCATCAGCAGGCTCATGAATTTAACCCTTCGCTATCAGAGAAGTAGGGTAGAAGAAAGCATTGCAGCAACCATGGAGAATGCTTAGATATAACAGACGCCTTTGTTTGAATATGTTTAAGGACAAACAGTAGAAGCATTCTTTGCCTGTTGCGTGCAAGAGGGTTAATGATCTTAAGCCACCCGCTTCAGCATGAAGTCTCCAGAAATCAAAATGGTGAAAGATTTCCAGTCCCAGGATCATCACAGGGTGAAATGTCCCATGTACATACCATGCCACCTCATGGTGTGGGTGCACTAACAGCTTGTGCCGCAGCAGCATGCACGCTGGCTGACTTGTGAGATGTACATCCTGCATCGCTGCAGAGCTCCTTTACATCCCTCTGCTACCTTCAGGCCTCCACCCTTCCAGCTGCCTCCCTACCTACACACGGAGCACTCACAACAATGCTAGCTGTACTGCCCAGTTGTGCAGGATGCCACAGCCCAGTACCTCCTTGCTCTTTTACAGTAGATTTTACAGATACATCAGTGCAGCAGCACTCCTACAGTTAATGCAACCCCAGACCAGAATATCTGAGCATCTGTAGGAAGTGGAACATTTTTAATGCTGTGAGGAAAGTGCTGCATGGACAATAGAGACAGAGAAACCAGGCTCCATCAAGTGAAAGTAGAAGCACTGTTCAGGGACACGTGGAAAGTGCTGAGTAGTCACAAGATGTATTTTGCAAGCTCTAAATAATCTCTTACTAGGGCTAATAAGACACTTTTCACAAAAAGAGTGTGAAAAATAACAAAAGGAAAACATAATTGCCATTTCTGGAGAACAAGGCCCTTACGAACCAGTCATCTCCCAAGGACTCATTTTAAACCAGCAGTAACTTCAAGGGCTTCAAGAAACACTCTGAAGCAAAACTAAGTATCTGGATTTCTCTTGGTTCTGAGAACTAAACTCAGGCTAAGTTTTGGCCAAGATTACTCAGCTTTTAAAGCCAATACAGCCCAAACTAAAATTTTCAAATCAGGGCAAATTAAGTGGATTTGGCTGAGTTTTCTTTGGAGGGATTTTGCACGTTTTGTTAATCATGCCAGGACTAGGGGAATTTCACCAACACTGTACATTGATCAAAACCACTAACATCTCTTCAAGTGATGATGTTTTTACCCACCCTAGGGCAGTTACCCTACCCTATTCTTTGTAAACATCTGAAAAAGCAAACTGACATGCATTAGCCAACACATGATAATTCCAACTAAACTTCCTACTGCAAGCAGGAACCAGGTGGGAACAAACAGTAGAGTCAAAATCAAAATTAATAAAATGGCAGTATTAAATTTAACCCTAGCTGTCCCAGATGGACCTTACTTTGAATATCTGCAGTTTGAAATGTAAAAACCAAGTCACTTACAGGACTCCACATTCTCCTAACTCAAACTTCAGCTTTGATGCTCCTCAAAGGCAAGAACAAATGTACAAAGCTAGAGCATCTGGATCGTATCTGTGCTCTAATCCTGCAGTTCAGATGCCAGCTTCCTCTTCTGTGGTAGAAATCCATCTGCAAATTCATGCTCAGAAAAAGGAGATCAAGCAAACATCAGCTTTTTTTCACTGTTTGAGAATTAATACCAGGGTTTTGCTGTGGGGTTACTTGCACCCCAGCTGCACTGCTTTAGCTATGGCACCATACTGATTCTGTGGTCAGAGGGATGACACCAATAGAACAACATCCATATAGCTCCAGCACTATATTCTATAAACTATTCTGGCAACTTCTAAGATGATTACTAACCTTCCACTCATTTGTGTTTGTTTCCTCACAGTGGAATTCAGAGTATGTGGTGGTGGAGTCTAAACAGACTTAGAGGCCTGCACATGACTGCCAGTCACAGCCACTCCAGAAAGAGAAAGCAACGAGAAAGAAGGAAGGCAGCTGCGGGAAAGA